CATCAATAAAATTACATCATTATTTAAAGAGCTTCTTTTTATCTTATAAAATTTGAAAATAAAGCCACCAGTACTTAAATTATTTATATGCAGACTATTGTCCTTGTTTTTGTTGTTCTTATTACAATGTTTCAACCATTGTTGCCCTTCAGGCTTCATGAAATGCCTGTTGATCTAGTTAAGTTTCAAGCTATTTTGAAACGAATCATTTATTTAATCTACAGGTGCAGATTAGTACCACTCAGTTATTGCTCACCCCATTTTCACTGAGTCCATGTATACACTGCCCAGCCGGAAGGCACAATGGCCAAAACCTTGTAATAACAAAGATGACAATAGTCCACATATAAATAATGATAACTCCTCATCCTAGAAATTCAGACAGACAGCCACCAATAATTTTAGATTTTCTACAGAAGAATCCACAAGTTAAAAAGTACAATGGTATTAGAAGACTTTGCAAGACAAAATGCTGAATTGAAGGCCTAAATACAAACTGTAACATTCTATAAATAAAGAATTTTAAATATGACTGTTTATCATTGAAATTATTATTTCTTAAATAAATATGAAACACCTGTTGCATTATCTCAGTCCCACCTGTCAAAGGCAGCTATGCTTTCTTCTAACATGAGAAAGAAAGATACAGCAAAGGTTTGAGAAATATGTAGCTATTTTGCCTTTCTTCCAGGATTTGTAGGCGAGTACTGTATAATATAATTGATTTGATAGCATCAATGTAATAAAATACTTAGTTTTCATAGGCTCATTATCTTTTACGTGTCTTTTTTTTCCTCTGGCGGTAACAGTGTCAAATAAGTGTCATTAAGGCTGAGTGTTCTTGCCTTGTTGAAATTGTTTGGATGAATGAAATGTTTCTCCTTCAATCAAAGAATCCATTTCACCTGACCACCTGTTGCTTTTTTGTTTTTACTCTTCCTTTGTTTCACACTCTGCTGTGGCAAGGTGGTTACTATTTTTAATACTCTTTCATAGTTAAACTAAAGTCATGTCATTGCATGTCAATGTAAACGAGGTGACCTGATAACATGCTTTGCCCTCAATTAATCAGGTGTACTACTATAACTTATGGTCAAGCCACACTACTAACTATATCACATCTTTCTTTTTCTGGCATAACTTTTTTTTAATAGCCAATTTTAATATTGTAAAATGAGGGTTTTCAATCTATATCTATAATTCTCAATGTGTGTGTGTGTGCGTGTGTGTTTTATCGGATGTTGTTTATGCATTTCCACAGTTTTCATCCGATTTCGATGAAATTTTTTTTTTCTTTTGATAGATAACTCTCCAGTGCCGGTTTTTGAGCCCAAATTGTTGGCGACAATGGCTCTCCACTACTTCCTGTCCATTATAACCCTCAGCAACATTTTACTACTTACTATCTGTTCCTGGATATATATTTTTCATAAAAACTTTAATAAAAATAAATAGTTTAAATTATTACAATAACATTATTTATTATTATACAGTTCCCTTTTCAGGGCCACCCCCCCATTCAAATTTTTAACCCTATTTGGGGATGTGCCTCAGTTACACCCAAATGTTGTTACTTATATTGATTTTTCGGTGGGCTGACCTAAAAATTAAACTGCTCCAATTGAACAGCAAAAATTCCCAGTAATGAAAGACCCAGTCAAAGACGGGTTATACTATGGTTTAATGTATATTAAAAAAAAAAAAATTTAACTTCTTAGCAAGTTTAGATTGACGGGTCTTTGCATAAATAAAAAGAAAAATTAGGTTAGGGTAAATAATTTTTTTTTTTGGTATATTAAATAAAGCAGATTTTACTCTATTGTGATAAAAATTAAAATAGTGACATTTTTTTGGTTTTATTCATTATTTCATAAAATCTAGAAGTTAAATCCAAGTGGGTATATCACTGAAGGTAAGCAACATTGAACCTGGCCAATACCTAAACAGGTGACCACTTGAGAATACCAGATGTTGTAAGCCCTTAATAACATACATAGGCTCAATGCAAGGGTAATGGCCCATTCCTCCCAATGAATGGCAAAGATGGAAAAATTTTTGTGGAAGGCCACATTCAACAAAGGACTTTCAAAGACACTATATTCAAATATTCAGTAATTTTTTTCATTGGTAATAAACTAGTGAAAAAAATAAACAGAAAATACTTTTTGTAAAATATTGTATAATCATAGCCTTAAGAAATACATTTATTTTCTCTCTCTCTTGAAATAAAGACAATATTTGTCTAATTTATAAGTCATTATATATGAAAACATAAAAAAGCAGAAAGCAAGAATTGGTTTCGATTGAGTTATCCTGTATTTATGATTTTTCATTTTTCCTTCTACAGTGAATGTGTTATAAGAAAATAGGGAAATAACCGGCAATTATAGTTCAAATCAGTACTTTGATAAAGTTGTTTTTAAAAATTATACTGTATGAAGCAAAACGTTTTTATGTTAGGTAAAGTAAAAGTCTAAAATTGGGACCATAATTTGCAAAATGGCAAATTAAAATTTTATATCATTTATTTAATTGTTTTTATTTTCAAATTGATCTTTTGATTCTCATTCGTTTGGATGCTTGTTGGTTCCATTTTCTCTGAGAAAAAGATGAACCAGATTGTTTCATTATGAACTAAAGATTCATTAAATCATCAAAAATACAGCCTTTTTTATGACATCTCCAAATACATCCATTAGAACAACTTTTGAATACCAAGGTCATAATGCAACAATAATCTTCACAGGTTCTTTGTTCTGCAATTAACTGGTTTTCTTTCAGAAAGTTAAAAGGTTCTCCTTGTTCTTAAAAAGTTCTAGCAAATTTTCTTCCAATTTTGCACACACGAATATGGCCCTGATTATAGACTTTTACCATAACCATGAATTTTCTATTAAAAATACTTTCCTCATCTTGGTTTTTTGTGTCATACTCAAACTCAACATTTCAGCAGTTGTGCCCTCCAGCCTTTTTGAGTCGACTGTCGTACCTTTCTAAAATTTAAAAATCATATACGGTTTTCTGGCAATTGGGAGTTCAGTGCCAAGGTCATATAGTGCGGTAAAGTCTCATTCAGTGACAGAAACAGACAGGCGATACAAAAGTGAATAGATCATAATACAACTTGGAGATGTTCTTTCAAAATGGTATTTTCCAAGTAAATTAATTCATTTTACCTGAGAAAGAAATTTATTGAGTATCAGATGTCAACTTAAAAGAATTGTTCCTACATACAGAAACTTTATCATAGTTAACTTGGGATAAAAAGAAAATTTGGTTATAGTCGGTTTTAGCGTTTCAAACTATTTTGCATGCTAACAGTAACATTGATTTATCCCCCTTATATTGTAAACTTCTTGAACGTGACTCATCTTGTGCATTTTCATTTCAATATGAGAAAGTTATGCATTCTAGCATTCAAAATAAAACAAAAAATAGCGTATTTTTTCCTAAGTAAAAAATGAAATTTAACATTTGGGACAAAAATAAGTAAAATAAAAATGTCATACCTGTCTAAAAACAATTTTGACAGTGGGATTTTTTTTTTTAATACTTAATCTGAAATTGAATCAAAATTCAAAACCTAACTTTAAAAAAAACACTGTAATGTAGTGTATCGTTTATCAGATCTCTTAGACTACTGATGTCAGTATTAAAAGAAAATTAAAACTTTTTTTTTTTTTTTTAAATCTGTGAGAAAAGAGAGAACATTAATTAACAGACACAACGACTGTTCATGGAATCCAGTAGATTTTTTTTGGGGGGGAGGGGGGCTGTCAAACGATGAAGAAAGGAACATTTATTTTAAAATGTCTTCTTCTTAACTGTTCTTGTTACGAAACAGAAAGCAGCTACAATAAATTTACTAACTTGCGTAATAACGTTGGAGATTTTTAAAGCAAGTTTTCGCGAGCCAACTTCATCATCAATAATAATTTTTTTTTTAGATGGACCTTTCCTTTACTTACGACAACAAAAATTATCCTCTCCGATTTTCTTCTTCAAAAATCAAAGTCTCAAAAATCAAAATAAATAAATAACTTCTACATTCCGTTCAGAATTAACACTTTAGTGGAATTTATTCCGTTCAGAGTTAAAGATTTATGGGGATTTTTTTTTTTTTTTGTATAGTTGTATTTTTGAAAATGATCCAGTTTTAATTACTGGACATCATCTTTTTTATAGAACAAAGTCCCCTAACAATAATCTGAATAAAAATAAATACAATCTGAATTATATTATACAAAAAAAAAAAAAAAAAAAAAAGGACAAATCTTTAAATAAATTCCACTGAATTTTTAAAAAGTGTTTTTATAATTTCTGGACAATAAGTGTAGTGACGTCAATAGTCTTAGAAAAAAAAAAAAAAAAAAAACATTTTAGAACTAAAAGGTTACTTTTATGTCGTAAAAGGTAAAACCATTTGATGAGATAGTTTATTTTTTAGCTCCTCAAAAGTGGGATATTTTAGCCTAAAATATCCCACTTGGCAACACTTAAAAATTTTAAGGTACATTTCTTGCCATCGTTCCCCAAACAATTTTCAACTCCAACGACTCTCTAAAAAATACAAAAGCATCATGAATCAAGCAAGATACTTTTTAAAATTGCAAATCTTATTGATAAAGGAAGAGATATTTTCCTTAATTTTTTGTAGAAATCGAAGAGATCTTGGAACATCATCATCATCAACAATAAAAACAACAACATCCAGTTTTGCTCTAAAAATGACTTTTCTTCTGACGCAGAGAAACTCTTGGCATGTCAGAGACTCTTTTAAGAATCTCTCCATTAGAATTAAAGAAAACATCAAACCTGTTTGAGAATTAATCATGAAATACTTGAAAAATTAAAAGTATATCTGCGGTTCGCTTACCTACATTATAATTTTTTGGGAACAAAACACCTCTTAATTACTTAATTCAATAAGAAATCGGGAGTTTTACGCAAAATTCTTTTTATTTTTTGACGGAATATATTAAAAATAACCTTTTACTTACCGAGCCTCTTATCCTCCTTAGCACTTCGACAGCGATTTACCACTTGTGCTACACCTGCTCCAGCTTCTAATTGCGACATTATGAATTTATTGTCCTATTTCAACTATCACGAAAAGTTATAGCGTGTTGTTAAATGCTAGGTGACGGTGTTAATATTTATTAGTTCCCTGTCGTATAGATTTCCGAGTTGTGATTACCTACCTACCAAAGTTTGATTTATTTTTGTTTTTTTGTAATGATCAACTCAAATACAGTATACGAAAAGAATGGCAGATGGCAAATACTTCCGAGCTTAGAAGAAAACAACAGCAAACAAACGGTGTGAAAAACTTTTTTCAGAGTGCTCAGTTTTATTAAATTTGTCATAGGCAGGCCAAAGGCTATTAGATTGAGCATCCACTGAGGATCAAACTCTGTAGTCAGTGTAGTAATTACCTGTAAGATGGACTTTCAAACTAATTGCTTTTAATATTCAGTTATCATAGAAAAATTCGGATTTTTCGTTTGATGCCAGTATTTTTTATTCTAAAAATTTATGACAGACAATAATGCCGACTTTTGATCAAATGAAGCTTTATTTGAATTATGTTACCTCAATGTTAGTTTTAGTAGAGTTTTATACAATCCCCCAAAATAAAATTATGATTGTTAAGAGGAAAAAAGAAAAGGGAGAAAAAGAGAGATTTTCAAATCTATTATCCTTCTCTTTATAAGTTTTTTAAAGGCACTATCCACAAAACAAGACTCTTACTCAAAGTGAAATTTGCAACAAAACAAACATTTATTAATGATACAAAAATATTTTTTCACAATATACAGAATGTACAAAATACAATATAGGCCTTGTACAAAATTTCCCTTGTCTGTCTGAAACTATCAAGGAATTGTAACAACTTTCTTTGAGAGCAACAGTTCATGAAAATCAATTTCTTAGCCACAAAAGAAATTTGCTTCAAAAAGTTCATAATTCAAAATATCAATGGTTCAAAGGTTGAAAGTAGAAGGGGATGAGAAAAGATTGACCTAACTCAGACAATGATGGTTCTCTGTGTCCTTTAGACAAAATATTCAGGGTTTTGAAACAGGCATTCTCAAATATGAGATTAACTTTCACAGGTTTAGAAAAGACATTCAAATATAATAAAAATCTGTTTTAAGAAAAGACATAGGTTTTTAAGGGTCCTTCTCCCTTTTCTTTCTTTCTTTATTTTTCCTCAGCAGCAGTAACATTAGTAGTAGTCTTTCTCATCCCAAATCACAGCTTTCTCACCCAAGTGTGGTCTATTTCTTTCTGATTTTGCAGTTAAAATCTTCCCTTACATAACAAACAAGTGACTTCAACTGGATCAAAACCCAACTTCTTAGTGGGTGTATACTTTTTAACTACATTGGTTAAACATCAAGAATCACTGTCTAATCAACCCACACCCATTTACAATTTAAATTTGACTGTTTTTGACAATGTCAAAATCAAGCCAATTTTTTTTAATTTTAATACTGAATGTGAAAACTGTCAGTTTGTTATAAATCAACTAGCTTCATTTTGGCATGTTTTTATAACATCAACTTGGAGCCTCTTTATTTTTTACAAATCTTTTTGTTTTATTATATATAAACTATCTGACTTCATTTTGGCAGTTTCTGTTTCTTAATTAGTTTTTCATACAATTCAATATTATCTGTTTTATTAAAAAATAATTTTTATATTTTTACACATTCCAACATTTTAATTAATTTTTCTCGAACAATTTTAATATTATCTTTTTTATTAAAAAATAATTTTTATATTGAGTAGGGTACAACTTAATATTTGATAGTTTGTCTGAAACATTGCACAAAGTAATTATAAATTTTTTTTCACTCTTTGTAGGTAAATTTTGTGTATACTTTAACATTTTTTAAAATAAAACTCTCAACATCTGTTTATATATTTCTCTAAACAAATAACACATTATACCCCACTTTTGCTGCATATAGTAGTGATGTGACTTTTAATTAGTTCATAATTAAATAACAATAATGTAACCTTGAGTGAGAAAAGGTGCATACACTTCTATGGTACTTCTCAAAACCAGTCCAAACTTTGTAAAACAAGTGCATTTTATTGGTTTTACCTTTCAACCATGTTTGAGCAGGACTTTCCTTCTTGAGTGATTGTAGAAGGGTTTTAAGATACCTGTTCCTCCAAACAGCAATAATATTAATGATTCTGTATTCTGAGACATCTTAAGCCATATCATCAGTTGTAAAAGTCAACATTTCACTATTTCCTCACTCATTTATCAAGAAAGCAAAGAAAACTAATAATAATGATTATGATTATGGTTTCAACACTCTCTGTTATTGGCTTTGCTGCAATGACTTGTTATTTTATTATCTTATTTCTTTTATGAATGTTTAATGATCTGTGTTCTTGATGAAAAATAAAAATGAGATATACTTAATATTAACTTGATAATAAAAAAAATATTCTTATGCATTTTTAGAACATTGAGATGTAGACATGGAGCAACAACGAGAGCAAAAATGAAGAGCAGAGAATTGGACTGATTTAGACATGGTTTATTTCTACCAAGATTCAAAATTTTTGTTACTTTCAGCACATTTAAGCTGGTCAATTTCCCAATGTTTATCAGATAAATGGTGTGTCCAAATAATCTTAAGCCCTCATTTCAGACAATACTTATATTACTATGTTTAAAACATGGAGTTTTAAGAAGTACAACTTCAATATCATTCTTTGAAACATATGGTGTTTATTCATATCCATGACTGCCAAATTTGAATTAAAATTTACATCATTAGTTGAACTGCTCTAAATTTTTCAGTTAATGATTTAATAAGTTATCCAAAATGGTATTCATCTTTTGTATATGTTGCTTTTAACATATTAAACTACTAATTTCCCTCGACTTCATTAGAAGTTGCTATGCATGTAAAAAAAGTAAAAAGAGACATTCTGCTTACACCATTGTCAACAGCTAGCCTGTGAGCTAGTTACTAGTGCTCACATCCAGTTAACATGTTGAGTGAATCAGAAAGAGATCTAATTGCAGTGGAGTATAATATATTTAAACTCAAAATTGCAACTGAACCCTTAATAGACAATCAATAACTGAAGAAACAATGTTTGTTTTAAATCTTATTATTCAAATTTCATCAGACTTACCAGTTCATCCAAGCAATGATGAGTATATATTCTTTTCCAAAAAAATCAATTATGGCAATTGTAATGTCATACTATTAAAAGTATACCCTAAAAACTAGAGTTATTGCCTCTGATGTAACCTTAGAAAGGTTAGTGAATAGAATAATCAAATGAAGGTTGGTAATGAATGATAATACTTAGGACAAGAACAACACATATAAGATTCACCAGTGGCACATAGAAAAAGTAGTCAACTGCTAGAAGTGAGTCAAGTGAGTTCCACAATGAATCTCCAACTGCAGACCAATATGTGAATGGGAATATACCCATTATTGTACGTAGGTATGCTACTACTGCCTCGTATCTGTATGCTCATAATTCCTTTAATCATTGTACTAACCACTGTTCCGTAGAACCGACTCCTAAGAGGATGCTTCCCTGATCACTATAAGCTTAACCTGCTTCAGTCTAGGGTTAACCATTACCTTCCTCTCTTATCCATACAAACTGCCTTTTAACATAACCACCTCAAGTGGCCCTTGGGCCTCGTACAGGATGAACGTTACTGTAAAAACAAACAAAAAACTTAATCATGTTGTAAGTAAAGCCCATATTTTTACCCTTTACCTTATTTAAATCTTCATCTTTATATTCAAACTGTTACAACATAAGTTTTACTATTCTTTTCAACATTTTGAAGTTGTCATTCATATTGACATCTTCAGTCTTACAGAGACTCCTTTCAAGTCAACTAACTGTAACATGCAGAAAATGCAAATACCAAATCTACTACAATATTACATTTATATATCTTAAACTTCTATTCCATGCGTGTAGTTCAGACCAAGGCAAAGCATGTAATACAACTTTAATAATTAACAATAAACTATTTTATATTGTATTTCCATTTGATACTTCTTTTGTCTCTGTATGTATGTAGATGTGCATGTGTCCATGCTTACTTGAATGGACACATGCACAAAAAAAGCAAGATATAATAAAATATAAAAATAAAATATATAAACAAAAAAAGAATTAAAATTAAAATAAGGAAATTGCACATTTCTTTAAAGCATATACGTGACACTATGCACGACATAAAATATTTCCAATCAGTTAATGACATCAATCAATTCATAACTGATTTGAACAAGGCATAAACAATCAATTTAATACCTGAGCTTTCACATCCGAGGATGCAATCTGAATTTATTAAAATCATGAAACAACTTCTCGACAAGGGCATATTCCAACAGATGAAATATTCGCAACAGACCACATCCTCATATGAGCAGTTGAGGTACTTACCTGCTAAGAACCTACAGGAGTCAAATGATGAATTTTCTGCATTTCAGCCAAGCATGGAACTTGCAACAATGTGACAATGAAAAAATCATGATCTGAGAAGTAGCAGTTTATGTAAAAGCAAAGTTTCAGACAGACAACAGCAACTCTGAAATGAGCGCCAACACTGTTTGTTGTCTCATGTACGCAATGCTCAATAGTGAAGAAATTAAGGCCTCAGCTTCAAACATATATGTCCACCTCATAAAGATAATGGACAGCCACTACTTGGTGAGTGGTATAGCAAAAACAAAAAACTAACACTAACCCCATCCTGGCTGCAGACATAATATACGAGTAAAATAGCGACCACATACACAAGTGAATCAAGGTGTTCATCAGGCTCTCGCCAACCTGAAGTGTCAAATGCAACAGATACACTGAAGAATAAATCACCCAGTAAAGCATGGCCAGATCACCTCTACAAAACTAGGGCACAATGATATAACCGCAAGATGAACCCAAAAACACACACCCACAAACGACTCCAATAACAGAGTCAACCATGCTATCTGCAGAAACTACATGAGGGGCCTCGATGTTTCAGTAACTAAAATTACTCTTACTTCCACCCACCACATGCTCAA